TAATCACAGACTTTCGGGTCATAGTGTATTGGCATATAACACAACAATCTTTCAATTCCATTATTATTACTTGTGCATACAAAAGCAAAATTTAAGATTATAACTTAAATTCATGTCCAAAAAGACCTTTTGTAACAACCTACAAACTTAGACTGTGAATTTGCTATTTTAATTTATGTGTTCTCAATTACAAGTTACGATTTCTCAATTACATATTATGATTTCTCAATTATATCTTACGTTTTCTCAATTACATGTTGTGTTTCTTAATTACATGTTACGACTTCTTATTTACATGTTGTGTTTCTCAATTACATATAACGTTTTCTCAATTATATGTTGTGTTTCTTAATTACATATTACGACTTCTTAAATACAACTTTCATGTTCTCATTTACATCTTGAAAAGGTGTAGACTAGATGAGAATTTAGTTTTAAGAAAACTCGCATTTCCAATGACGCTGACATTCAATTTCTCCGTCCATTTGTGAGCAAGCCACAGATTGAAAAAAGTCTTTCAACATATGCTTGAGTTGCAGGAGCTGCAATGAGGTCTTCAGCTAATGGTGCAATATGTGGGTAAACAGCACGTCTCATCTTCCAGAAATTTAAAGCATTTTGGCACATAGAGCTGTTCCTTATTTAAATAAAATATTTGTTGAGTTCATTTTGTGCTTCATTACCTAGAATAAGCTTTATTTTTTCTACTCGCTGTTTTGCCACTAAAAATTTCCATTTTGTTAATCCATTTATTTCTGGAGCAATCTCAACAGAAAGAGTAGATGCACTTGCTAAAGGTAAATCATGTTGCACCGATTTTTTAGCCTCTGACAAAATGTATTTCTTTGCACATTCTCTGATTTGTGTATGCTCATTACCTAAAAGAGCTATTGCACATGTGGGGTCAAGTAGACATGCGGTACATGGCAGTGGATTAAAATTAGGATCGTTTGGCTGCAAAAGAACGCCAAAATGACGGCGTAGATCTTCAAGCATTTTAACTGCTACATCTTTGGCATCTCCAAATTGCTCAAGGTGACATTCTAAATTAAGTATTGAAGGTATAACACTGGATAGTGAAAGTGCATCCGTCTGAAGAATATCAGTTTCATTGGCAAAAGGTTCTAAAAGATTGACAAAATCCTGAAGCATTATCCATTCGCTATTGGCAAGTGAATCAATGTTAAGGTCTCCAAGCACTTCGTTGATAGATGTCTTTATTTCCAGAAATCTCCGAACCATAAAGTAAGTGCTGTTCCATCTTGTAGAACAGTCGCTGATCACAGTCTTACCACATTTGTTGATAATTTTTTCCAATGCAACAGAAGATTTGCGAACTTTTCCCACTAATCCACGTACCTTCAAAAGTAAGCCATGATATTTACCATCATATGCAAGTTTTACAACTAGGTGTATAACATGTGCAATGCATCCCAATCTTCTAAATGCTACGTTTTCTATTACATCAACTATCAAGTCAACATGTTCCCACTCTTCACTATTTGTCATATTCTCATCGTCTTCCAGATCTGTTATCTGCTCTTCATTAACCTCACTTTCTAATTCAATAAGTATATCACGTTCAGCTTGAGCTTTCATTCTCGACAACTTTATGCCTTTGACCATGTTTGCTCAATTGTCCGAAATAACAAGCAATATTTTTTCTCTGGAAATATTCCAATATTGCATTTTTCAAAACAATTAGCAATTTGTTCACCTGTATGTGGATGTTTCACAAGATACAAATTAAGCAGAGCATGTATTGGTTTTTCGGATTTGAAGTGAAAAAAACAAACCGAAATTCCTAAAAAGGACGCAGTAAGACCTTTTTTAGTCCAGCCATCAAGGCATATTGTGAAGCGCCTGCCTTCAGATATGAAGTCACGAAGTTTTCTCGTTAAAACAGTAAATTCTTCATTAAGTAGGCTAGTAATTTTGGCAGAAGCAGGCAATGAAAATTTATAATCCAAGGTATTAACTAACTTTCTAAAACTCGCATTATCCACCAATGTCACTGGATTACATGTTGCAATTATCATTTAAATAAGAGAGTTTAGTCGAATTTTATGCTCGTGTGAATTAATAGGCCATGCGGTATTCCTACGATTAATGCATTGAATCAAGGTCTGGTTCTGATTTGAGGACGATTCTAAAAGAGTGGGTCCATTTTCATCCACTGCTTTTCTCTTTATTCCTGTTTGCTTTTTTTCACTTAATTTCTTTAATTCTGACTCTTCCAGCTCAACGTGTACAGACTTATGGTTTCTTGCTAAATGTAGCTAGAAAAAAATAAACATATTTATATAATTTTTTGTTTGTATATTTATATGTTTATTTATCTATCTGTTTATCAATTAATGTATAAATAAGTTTGTATACGTTATTGAATAATTACTCTAAAATGATAAAAATGAGTCGTTTGTTTCAAAATGAAAACATATCCTCTAACAGATAAACTAACTTTAAGATTTGTTGGGTTCTTTCCACACAACTTTGTATTGCATACTTTTTCACTATCAAGTAAAACTAAACATACTGATTTGTCGGATGACGCATCGTATTTAAACCATTTCCATACTGAACTATTCCTCTTCCTACCAGCAAAAAGTTTACTCAAACTCATCGCGTAGTTGTGTTGGTCTTACAGTTTGATTTTTTTTAGTTCGAAAAAATATATTCGAATAAATATATTCGAACTATATCATAACTAAACTTATTCGAACTTAATTGAATAAAATTCAATTAAGTTCGAATAATATATCATTATAATGTATTGTAATATAATAATTATATATATATCAAATAATTCAACTCGTTTCAAATCTAGAACGAAAATATTTCGTTTTAAAATAATTTTCTATTCAGTTTTTATTCCGTTTGAAAATTTAAAATTATCGTTTTTATTCTGTTCTCGTTCTTAAAATAAATTTCGTTTTAGTTTTCGTAAACGAAAGGCTTTTTTTTTCGTTCTCGTTTTCGTTCTTGTGTACGAAAATATCACTGATTCCAACCATACTGCAAGCCTGATAATAAGCTAAGTTATGTACATGCTGATTCTAACCATCCACCTAACATAATAAACAATCTTCCAAAAAATATCGAGCTAAGATTGTCCGCCAACTCATCAAGTGAAGTTATTTTTAATAAGTCGACACATCTTTATGAAGACGCACTAAAGCAATCGGGATATGATTATAAGTTGGCATATAAACCAAGTATAACAAATGTTCCAAAAAATCACCACAAACGAAGTATAATCTGGTACAACCCTCCATTTAGTAAAAATGTTACAACCAAAATTGGTCAACGCTTTTTAACCCTAATTGACAAGCATTTTCCTAAAGACCACAACCTACACAAAATATTTAACAGAAACACTATTAAAATAAGCTACTCCTGCATGCCAAACATTAAATCTATCATCAACTCACGCAACAAAAATAATTTATATGGTGATGTAAAGTTATCAGAAAAAACCTGCAATTGCATTAAAAAATCTCTTTGTCCACTGAACAACAATTGCTTGTCTAACAACATTGTTTACCAAGCCACCATAAGCTCAAATAAACCTCAATACAAAGATAAGGTATACATTGGGATAAGCAAAACCTCTTTTAAACTACGTTATGCAAACCATCTAAAATCCTTCAACATAAAAAAGTACAAGAACGACACTGAGTTATCTAAGGAAGTATGGGATTTAAAAGATAACAATTTTACATCTTCAATCAAATGGAATATAATTAAACGCTGTAAATCATACAATCCTGCGTCAAAAATTTGTAAGCTTTGTTTAAATGAGAAATTTGAAATATTATTTTACAAAGGAGATAATCTGCTAAATAAAAGAGGCAAAGTAGTTTCGAAATGCAGACATAAAAATAAATTTCTTCTTTCATTATTTGATAGCGGAGATTAGTTTTCCATTACGTCTTCTTGTAGTAATACGTCAGAACTCATTCTACTGTAGTTTGTAATTTTTTAAAGGTTTTTTATATTTTTGATTTTGTACTTCATGGCTGATGATTGCCGATAGGCATGAAACTTTAAGTTCCATTAAAAGTTGTTTTTTCTATATTTAAGTATATATATATATATATATATATATATATATATATATATATATATATATATATATATATATATATATATATATATATATATACTACTTACTTTATATAAATATAAAGTAAAATTGCATATAGGAATCATGAAAACACTTGAATAATACAATCTCATTTCAAAAGTATATGCTTTGATAAAACTTTCAAAGCATATACTTTTGAAAAGGATCATTTATAAGGATTGCAAGAGAAGTAGACAAATACCTTCTTTTACTGGCATGTAGGCATCATATCACTAAGCTTAGAATGGTTCATTTCTGAAAGCAGTGATAAAAAAAAATAGCATTGGGCCTGAAAATCCCTTATTCATAAAGTTTAAACATATGTTTGAGTATCTTAAATTTAATACGATAACCTGACTTCTTTTGATTGGAATACTGAGGAAGGAACAGCTTTTAAGGAGGCTGCAAGGAAAACTTTAAATTACTGTGAGACCTATATTACTAAAAAATGCAATATGAGGAATGACCGAAGAGAGAAGCTGAAATAACCACTAAGCTTTGATAATCTCAAAAACTTTTCCATATACACCATATAAAACAAGCTTATGGAAAATACAAGGATGCTAAACTTTTTCGTAAGCTTTAGATATGTCAAGAGCTTTAACCTAATGCATGATAAAATCCTTTATTATCCTGATTTCATAACCTCTTGTCCATTTAAGAAAGGAAAGAAATGTTAAATTTTTCTTTCTTTAATAACGTTTTTATTAAGAAAAAAAAAAAACTCTCTCTCTCTCTGTGTATATATATATATATATATATATATATATATATATATATATATATATATATATATATATATATACATACAGTTATATGCATACAAAGTCATGGCAACAATTTTATAATAAAAACTTTAAAGAAAAATGTAAACCAGGTCTTTCAGCTTTTGATTCTTCTTCTTCTGGATCTTTTGAAAATTCTCGAACAAATCTTTTTTTTTGCATTACCTGAATCTTCAATGATTTAGAACAATTTTTATTTATCTAATAATATCTTATTGCCTAATAATTATTTTTTGTTATACTTATAAGCTTAAAAAACTTATAATTTACATAAAGTTTACCTTTGGTCGTGACCCCAGTGCAAGTTTGATAATATTATTTATAATTTTCAAACAAGAATCTTTAAATGGCACTAACATCAATACTTTAGGACGAGTAAGTCCTTGATCGCGAAAATCCCTAAATATAAAAAGAAAATAGAAAATTTTAAAAAACCTAATTATACTTGTAATAACATATCATTCTTATTAAAAGTTTAGCAAAATTAGTATAAAATATTTTGATCTAAAAAATTTTCAAGTCAAAATAGCTTATACAATACATTATCGTTATAAAATTGTAGTTAAAAAATTATTTTGTATTTTTATATAAGTTGAAGTGGGTAATTGGACATATATTTCATTACTTATACACTAGCATATACAGTTTTAAAAAAATGATTACTAGAAGAATGTCTACTGGAAGAATGTCTGCATCATGCTTACCCAAAAAAATGATATTAGAAGAATGACTATTAGAAGAATGAATATTGGAAGAATGACTAATAGCAATATTGGAAAAATGACAACTACTAAAAAACAGACTACTAGATGAATGACCACAAGAACAATGACTTCTAAAAGAATAAATATTAGAAGAATGATTACTACAACAATGAATACTAGAACAATGACTACTTAAAGACTACTAAGAATGTCTAGTAATAAAAGTCTAATAAAATCAGTGAAAAACTAAAGATACAAGATACCATTGTAAATCAGTTTTCAAAGTTTAAAAATTATCTTAACTATACTTAATTAAAATAAAACTCTTGTGAAAATAATAAAAATTTATGTTTTTTTATTTTTTGTTTTTCAGACGACTTTTCAGAAGCATAAAAAATAATTAAAAAAATATTACATATCCATACTTTTGTTATACTTGATTAAATATATCAAAAAAAAATATTACACATCCATATTTTGTTTTTCAGACAACTTTTCAGAAGCAGCCATCTTGGCATTATTTTTTACAATCTGAGATCTAGTTCTAAAGAACAAATAAAATTTAAATTAAATGAAAAGAATGAAATGAAATGAATAAACCAAGTTACAATACAATTAAATAAAATAACTTGGCAACAAATTATAATATAAATAAAAAATGCAAAATGGGTTAAATAGTGAATTTAGGTGTCTATATATAACAATCTCTGATTCAAAAAAAAAAAAACTTGAGAGTAAATACTCAACCATTTTTTAATAAACATATATGTACATATAACAATCTCTTTTCTTCCAACATGTTTCTTTTAAACTTTTGAAGTAGTAATTGAATCTACTTCATAATATTAAACATGTAATTTTAACAACTAGGAAAAAACTATTAAAACTTTTATAAACAGCTTATAATTATAATTTAAAATTATTAATGCATAGTACCTAAGTACCTAGTACCTAAGTACCTAGTACCTAAGTACCTAGTACCTAAGGCACTCACAAAAAAGAGGCAAAAGCACTTTAAATGGTTTGAAGAAAAGTCTTTTTTGACGTGGTTAAGTTTTTATTTTATTTTATTTAAGATCTTATGATTTAACTTATATATGATAATATATAATATGAGGATAAAAATAATTCAATAATTTTTTGAGGCCTTAAAATATGATTTAACTTTTACAATTAGAAAAGATAATTTTCACATTTTGTAACCAAACCTCTCTCAATTTCTTTCACTAAATATTTAATTTTTTAACTGTTAAAAGCATCAATTTTTTAACTGTAAAAAGTACCTGGCAGTTAATTGCAAATTTTATTATAAAGAATTTTTTTTGACATAACATTTAAATCTGATAACATTTGAATTTTATGCCGAAATATACAAAACAATAAACTAAAAAAAAATAAAAAAAAAAAAATACTTTCTTTAATACATGATTGACTGCATGAAGGCAATATAATCTACGAACTTCATCACCATTACAGAGTGAACGATCAGTAAAAAGTATGTCTTTATAAGATCCCATATAAGTGAATAGCTGTTTTTGAAGTTCGGTAAAGCAACCTAAATTGAAAAATAGTTTTATAAATTGCAAGAATATTGCAAGAATACTAAAAACACCTAAGTTTAAATAGTAACCAAATAAAAATGGTAATAATAAATCTTTAACAATAAAAATAAGCAACAAAAATTCTAAATTTTGATTATAAATAATAATTTTTTTTTTTCAAAACCTCTCTTGTTTGTTTTTGTTTTGTTAAACACCTTCCATTCTTCTATCAACTTTTCCTTAACCTAAAGGAGAAAAAATAGGCATTAATTTTTTTAAAAACAAAAAGTTAAACTTGTTTATAAAAATATTTATCCATTCTACAACCTTTTAATAATAATAATAAAAAAAAAAGCTTTTTTTGTTTCTTTTTTTAAGTACAAAACTTAATTTGCAATCCTTAAAATAATTTGTAAAACTTTTGTAACCCAAACAATAAAAATATTACACATGCTTGCTGCAACAAATTTTCTTGCTGAAGAATGTTGTTGAAAGCACCGTAGTAACTCTTACAAGAATAGTATTCAGTAAACTAAAAAAAAGCAAAAAATATTTATATATAACAATATAAAGATGATTACAGTTCAAATGCTAATCAATTAAAAAATAACAGTTAATTAGCATTTGAATTGTTGTTCTATAAATAGCTTAATATAGAATAAAATATAGAATAAAATGTTGAATGAAATCAAGGAATGAAATAGTTTTGCCAACCTTTATTCTTTTACTCTTAATTGTTGACTACACTTTTGCAAATAATTTTTTAATCATGTTGTAGAGAATATTTTTTCTCAATAAGATGGTATAAAATTTTAATAAAAAATAATAGTTTTTAGTAAACTGTTGAATTTGCAGAACAATTGTCCTCTTTTGAAAAATGGGCATAAAATTTTCCGAAGTGTAATTTGCAATCAGTGAACTTTAACGTTTAACAATTCCACTTACAATTTATTTATTTACTCTCGTAAGAGTACATTGTATTTACTCTTGTAAGAGTACATTGTATTTACTTTTGTAAGAGTAAATTGTATTTACTTTTGTAAGAGTAAATTGTATTTACTTTTGTAAGAGTAAATTGTATTTACTTTTGTAAGAGTACATTGTATTTACTTTTGTAAGAGTAAATTGTATTTACTTTTGTAAGAGTAAATTGTATTTACTTTTGTAAGAGTACATTGTATTTACTTTTGTAAGAGTAAATTGTATTTACTTTTGTAAGAGTAAATTGTATTTACTTTTGTAAGAGTAAATTGTATTTACTTTTGTAAGAGTAAATTGTATTTACTTTTGTAAGAGTAAATTGTATTTACTTTTGTAAGAGTAAATTGTATTTACTTTTGTAAGAGTAAATTGTATTTACTTTTGTAAGAGTACATTGTATTTACTTTTGTAAGAGTAAATTGTATTTACTTTTGTAAGAGTAAATTGTATTTACTCTTGTAAGAGTAAATCAATAAAATTAAACTTAAAGAGTAAAACTTTTATAGAAATAGAATTTTGTACGATCATTTTTATAAACAACATTATATTCTATAACTTTTATAGAGTTGTTTTATTAAAATGATTGATTATGTTATAAAATTTTTATATTATCACATATTTATTTAATCAATAACTAAATTATTAGATAAATTTAAAATAATAATATAAAAACTAATTTTTAAAAAAATCTAAGGATAAAATATTTAAATATAGGCATTTTAAATAATTTTAAAATGCCTATTTTTAGTCTTTTAATCACTTTAAATCACACAAAAAAAAAAAAAAAAAAAAAAATTATTCCTGTAATGAAAAAGGAACAAACTAAAAATTCAGTGGGAATATCAAATATTATTATCTAAACATAATTTAAATTCTTGGAAAAGACCACACAAGCTCTAGGCAGGCAGCCCTTGTAGCCCGTTATGTCCATTTTAGACGTGTTATTTGTAGCTTCTCCACTCATTTGCTCCTGCTAAAGCCTGAATTTCTTGTATAAATTTAAATTTTAAACCTATTTTATTATAAAATATGAATTGAAAAACCTGCTTGCAATGAAAAAGATAAAACCATGCACTGAAGAGTCACACTTACAGTGGGCAAAGTACATAGCCTAAAACCATGCACTGAAGAGTCACACTTACAGTGGACAAAGTACATAGCCTAAAACTCAAAACATTCTGCATACCAGTAGCAACTTTTTACATTTGTGCAAAAAGCTGCTCAACCTGTATCTCAAAGAAGTGGGCATGTTAAATAAGGTTCTTATTTTAAAGTTTAGGGTTGAGACTCCTTGACTTTAGTGGTCCTCTGCTTTAGTGACTACTTGACTTTAGTGGCCCTCTTTGCAGCTTTGGGCAGATAAATTTAACAAGAAGAAATTTATTAAAAGTTGAGCATCAGACCCATCAGCAATATTTCATCACTCAGAGCTGCTACTTACATGCAAGAAATAGTAGTAAAGTATTTCAACACATTGCAAAGCAAGTTCAACAAAGCAGGTTTAACAAAAACATTTTATGTTATTTGCAGAATATTGATAAAATGGACTTTTTGGGTGATCAAGGCAACACATAGTTAGCAGGCATCGTGTTTAACAATATTGATATTGGTTGGCAGCAATGAAAGAATCATTTATAAAGTTGGAAATTGAACCAATGCTGTTGGTAATCTTTTTACAACATTACTTGTAAATAAAAAAAAATATCTGTAAAAAGGTTGTTACTTAAGTGGTCCAGACAATGCTCTATATGCAACATATTAATCTGATAGATGGAGGTTAACTAACTTGTGCAATCGTTAACTGGCATAGGCACTCACAGTGAAAATATAAGATAGACTTTTTAGGTTATCAAACAGTAGTTATTCATATTTTAATCAAGATGAACGCTTAACACGTTACATATCCAGTACTTGCACCAAATTACATCAAAAACAATATTTGTTAATATACTTACCAGTTTATTTGTCACACATTATGCAGTAACTAAACTTTTCATTATTATCAAATGTGTTTGGCGTAAATTACTTTATTTGATATTCAATACATCTTATTAGAACTTTCTTTTCTGTTTCTTCAATGTAAACACTGCCATATAAACACGTATACATCTTCAATATATACACCGCCACAAGAACAGCCACAATGTATACATCACCACAAGAACAGCCACAATGTATACACTGCCACAAGAACATGCTTGTAAACATCAGGATTACTATTAACTTACACTTGTTGTTGCATAAGATATTTTTTAACGTGGTGTAGTAAAAATTATTCTGATCCTGCATTTTTCAACTTTCAAATATTTTGAGAAATGATTAGTGTGAATTAATATTTTGAGAAATGATTAGTGTGAATTAATATTTTGAGAAATGATTAGTGTGAATTTTTCTTCTGTTTAAAAAAAAATCATTAAAAAGATTGCTTAAAGAAAAAAAAAAAAAAAAAAAAAAACGGAAAAATTCTATTGGAAATAGAAAAAAAGAAAAACAAACAAAGCGGTTTCGAAAATCTACGAAAAATGGTTCAAACAAATAAGAGCTGATAATGTCCCAATTAGTGGTTTGCTGGTAAAAGAAAAAGCTTTATATTTTACGAAAGAGTTTCAAAAACTTTCAAGCTTCAAATGAATGGCTAGACAAATTTAAGAAAAAGTAAATTAATTTCTTGTTATTTTTATCCAATTTTTATGATTATTGACTTTAAAATACATGATTATATTACAGCTTTTTCATTAATTGCTTTAAGAAAGTAAAATAAATATTTTCTAGAACTGGACATTTGATAAAAAAGCTTATGAATAAAATAAAATTCATTATGTTTTAGTAATAGTTTTTAAAGTTTTACACTATAATGTTTTGTATCATATTATTAATACATCAGAAAAACATCAGCAACGGTTGTTTTTATGATATTTATTCAAGCACTGTAACGTTTCGTAATATTATTGCGTTTTTAACCAAAACTTTAAGTTAAAAACCCAACTGAAAATATTGCGTGTTAAAAAGTATATATTATTTTTAAAAAGTTATTAATTAAAAATATAAAATTTATATAGTTTTTTAAAAACTAATAAAGCACTAGTTCTTTGTTGTTGTTGTTTTTACGGGTTTTTTGATATATTTTTTATTGAAATTTTTTTACTGGTCATTTGAACATATCAAGTTTAAAAATAATGTCAACTTTTTTAAAAATATTTATTTACAAACTCTTTTACCTAAAGACACTCACAAAATCATAATAATAAATAAACTTTTTATTATTATCGCGTATTAACGTACTTACTAAAATGATTTTAAATGTGCTTGATATTTTTATCTCAACCTAAAAATATTAAGTTTTGCTGTTTAAAAAAAATGTGCAAACTGACTTACACAGTGATGTTATATCCTCTGTCCTAAATATGAACTTTCTTATTACAATTAAGTCGTCAAAAACATCAAATCCTCAAGCTTTTTCTGTCTTAATTTTTTATTTCTTAAATGATTTGTTCTGGTTGTGAAAACGTTTTTTAGTTTAGTGTCACTAACAATATCAAACCTCATTTTAATCCAAGGTTTCTTCAAATTTTATTCAAACCTTCTTCAAAGCATACTTATACGTTATAACTAAATTTATTTGAAAGTTTTATGCAGTTTAGATTGTAACCTTGATGTCATAAAATATCCTGTTAAAAGTTAAATCTCTAAAGTTTTTTTTATTGAGATCATTTAGATTTTTTCTTTCTTTCTTTCTCTACATGTAAATATATAAAAATTCCTTAAAAAGTATAAATTACCTAAATTTTCCTGATTTAATAATAAATAGCTACTGTTTTTATTAGATCTCAGCTTACATTTTTTGCCCAATTCACACAAGTTTCCTATTCCCTTGTATATTTTCTTCGCAATTTATTGCTATTTATCATTATTACTAATTAATAATTATATTTAAATAATCAACTTTAAATTTAATATTTGTAAATTTTATTAAACCAACAAAGCACACATATATAAGGTACTTTATATAATATATTTTTATATTGTAAATAGTGTAAACAAATAACACATAGTATATTCATTTATATATATATATATATATATATATATATATATATATATATATATATATATATATATATATATATATATATATATATATATATATATATATATATATATATATATATATATATATATATATATATATATATATATATATATATAGTATATATGAATATACTACATACACCACATAAACATATAGTATATTCATATGGTCTTTTATAAAAATTGTAAAATTGCAGTGCTAACAAAAATAGATATTTTTTTATTCAAAATAGTTATTAAAAATACATAAAACTAGTCATTTTTAATCTGACTCTGAATTTCTAAACATGACTATGTAATTTGATTGTTTTAATTTAATTTTAATAAATGTTTTAATTTTTATCAAGATTTTAAAAGCTGCACCGCGTAATAACTAAATTTCAGTTGATTTAAAATGTAAACTTTTAGGGAAAAGAAAAAAAAACCATACCTTCTTAATCAAAAATTAAAATATTTATTTAGGCCCTAGAAAAAATTAATCAAAAATATTTATAACAGTCTTGTCCTTAAAGCGTCTAAAATAAATAGCTTTTAGTCATTTTGAGGTCCTTTTTTTTTCCAAATATGCCTTTTGCAAATAATCTTTTTTTTTCCAAATATGCTCTTTATGGAAAGAGTGATTCAATGGAGCTCAATCTTTTTTTCACATTTTTATACAGAAAAAACACTATTAAACAAAGCAAAAACACTATTAAACAAAGCAAAAACAATATTAAACACAGCAAAAACACTATTAAACAAAGCAAAAACACTATTAAACAAAGCAAAAACACTATTAAACAAAGCAAAACAATATTAAACAAAGCAAAAACATTATTAAACAAAGCAAAAACATTATTAAACAAAGCAAAAACATTATTAAACAAAGCAAAAACACTATTAAACAAAGCAAAACAATATTAAACAAAGCAAAAACATTATTAAACAAAGCAAAAACAATATTAAACACAGCAAAAACACTATTAAACAAAGCAAAAACAATATTAAACACAGCAAAAACACTATTAAACAAAGCAAAAACACTATTAAACAAAGCAAAAACACTATTAAACAAAGCAAAACAATATTAAACAAAGCAAAAACATTATTAAACAAAGCAAAAACATTATTAAACAAAGCAAAAACAATATTAAACAAAGCAAAAACATTATTAAACAAAGTAAAAACATTATTAAACAAAGCAAAAACACTATTAAACAAAGCAAAAACAATATTAAACAAAGCAAAAACACTATTAAACAAAGCAAAACAATATTAAACAAAGCAAAAACATTATTAAACAAAGCAAAAACATTATTAAACAAAGCAAAAACACTATTAAACAAAGCAAAAACAATATTAAACAAAGCAAAAACATTATTAAACAAAGCAAAAACATTATTAAACAAAGCAAAAACACTATTAAACAAAGCAAAAACAATATTAAACAAAGCAAAAACAATATTAAACAAAGCAAAAACACTATTAAACAAAGCAAAAACAATATTAAACAAAGCAAAAACATTATTAAACAAAGCAAAAACATTATTAAACAAAGCAAAAACACTATTAAACAAAGCAAAAACAATATTAAACAAAGCAAAAACAATATTAAACAAAGCAAAAACACTATTAAACAAAAATTTACTTTTATTGTTTAAAAATCTTTGAAAAAAATGTGCGATTTGTTTTATAAACAAATTGTACATTTTTAATTATCATTAAAGTTAATTAACTTTATTTAACTTTAATAATAATTAAATTTTTTAATTATCATTAACTTTAATTAACTTTAATGATAATTTGATAGTTTTTAATTACTATCAAATTTAATTAACTTTTATAGTAATTAAACTTTTTAATTATCATTAAAGTTAATAAATGAATAATGAAATAAATTAAATAAGTTAAAAATGTAACAATTTTTTTTAAGAAACTTCTTGATAAAAAACATGTGCATAATTTAAAAAAATCATATAATTCTTATAAATATAAGTTGTTACTTTATTTAAAAAAATCATATAATTCTTATAAATATAAGTTGTTACTTTATTTAAAATAATCATATAATTCTTATAAATATAAGTTGTTACTTTATTTAAAAGTTCACTTAATTTTATAAAAACATTTTAAAAGATCTTTTAAAATGTTTGTATAAAATTTAAAAACGCATTTTAATGACACAAATGTCATTTATTATAATTTTCTCATACAGTTGAAATTTTTTGAGTTTTTTTTTAATTTAATTTATTTTTTTTTTTTGTTTTTTTTTTGTACTACTGAGATTTCTTTCCTCTTTTTAGCTTTTTAGCACTTTTTTGTATCAAATCATTACACATTTTCTTTTTTAATTGTGTAATAAAAAACATTTTTTACACTATATAAATGTTGTTCAAAAAAGTGATTAAATATTAACAAACATAAACTGCTGCTACAAAATTACAGTCACAACAACACTCTCAATAAACGAAATAAAACGTTGCAATAAAACTCTTAATAAACCACACGTATTTATTTAATCTCTATAGAAAATCAAATCAAAAATCTAAACCTTTATATCAACAACTGTATAACATTGGTTTGCAACTTGTTCTTCCACCAGTTGATTTTCAAAGTGCAATTTAAAAGGATCTGCAAAATTATAAAACTATCAATGATAAAAAAATAAAAAAAATAAAAAATAACATTTCTTATTAAGTTAACATGTGTTCTTATGAAGTTAACGTGTTTTTCTTATTAAGTTAACATGTGTTCTTATGAAGTTAACGTGTTTTTCTTATTAAGTTAACATTTCTTATAAAGTTAACATGTTTTATTAAGTCAAACTGTTTTCTTTAAAGGAAATATAGTTTGTAATAAAAATTAAAAAGATACTTAGTAAAGCATAAGATTGTAAATAATGAGATAATGTAATAAAAATAATGTAAATAATGAGATAATGTAAAAAAAATAATGAGATAATGTAAATAATGAGAAAATCTTTTTCTAAAATATTTAAAACAACTGTTTTTTACAAATTTTAACTTTTAAACTTCTTTAACTTTTAAAGTTAAGAAATTAAAAAGTAGAAAAATACTTTAAATTTCAAATTAAAATTTCAAAATCTTGCTTGTGGGTGACCATGCTTTGTTTGTTTTGACATAAACTTGCTTCACGCCACTGCACGAAGCTAAATCAGGTCAAAACAAATAAGGTCTCAATAGAGCCCCTGTCCCTATTGGCCCTCTGGTCATCAGTCCTGTAAATTTTAACACACGTTCACCAAGACTACACAAAGGCTGAAATTTTTAGAGTTCTAGTTTTTCTGGAAGGTAGAGAAAACTCTACTGCAAGATAAAAAAGGTGTGGTACCAACAACAGCAAGTGACCCAACCCCAACCCCACCTGGTATTGTTTAGTGTAACAATATAATTCTTATATTGTTACACTAAAAACTACCTTGTCCATTGATGCAATTATTCTATGAAACTTTGAAAAATAGATAACTGTTTCCATAGTAAATTTTTGTTTCTTAAAATTGTCTGTCTAGATGAATTTGCACCATATGAGAAAATTTTTATCTTAACTTTAATGATATTTTATTTATGAAGGTCAAAGCAATGGACCCGATGTAAGCTTATTATTAGCTTGAAGATTATCCTGGCACATACAAACAAAGGGAGTAAAGAAGAAACAAAATAAACAGTAAATTGTGTTTTGTATTTTTTTAATTTATTTTTTTCAATATTTTGACTAAAAAAAATAATTAAATAAGTAGTGTAAAAAAAAAAAAATAAAGTTTGAATTTTTCTACCAAACACTACAAGTTTATAATAAAATGATATACTACACTGAAAAAAACATCAACTGCTGGCTTTTGTGCAGGGCAAAAATCAATTTTGCAAAAAAATTTATACTTTTGGGGGGTTGCAATGACATCGCAAATGGCGGAAACATTTAATTAACAATGAAAAGGAAAAAAAGAGTAAAGGAAAAGTGAAGGAAATTTTTAAATAATAAAAAAGATTAGTTAGAAATAATGTAAAAAAAGAAATTAATTGAAGGGTATAAACAAACTAAAAGATTGAAGAAAAAATAAAACAAGAAAATGGTTAAAAGAAATAAAAAAACAAACAGATTTAACCAAACAAAAAAAAAACAAAAAAAAAAAAATCAATTAACAGCAAAGACCAATTTAAAAGAAAAAAAGTTTGAAAAATGTTCAAAATAATAATTAATTAAAACGTAAAAAATAACTAATTAAAACGTAAAAAATTGCAACCAATTTTTCTATTCCTTTTTTTTTTTATGGCAAATATGTGATATTTGTTATATTATTATTTTTTATTATTATATCAATTTTTAATTAATCTTCTATATAATAATGCCAAACTTAGTTTTACCCTTCGCAAACCCTTCGCAGCCATTGCAACCGAAGAATTGGCAAGAAAGAGTCGCAGCACTATAAGAAAACATGAACAAATATCTAACGTACGTAAACTTTAAACTAAGTAATAATAAAGCATATGTTAAAACATAGTGAAACAGTTATCAGTTTGATTTTCACTTGAAAGTTACATTGCGTCAAGCTCTCCTTAATTTTGATCTATAATATTTTTTCCCTCAAAACATTTATTACATTATTTTAAAAAATCTACACCAGATGGTATGCCCGAGTAGCTCGAGTGGATAAGGCGTCTAACTTCTGAACAAGAAACTAGAGGTTCGATTCCTACCGATGGCGGATATTTTTTTAAACTTTTTTCGATTATTTTTAAATACAAAATAACTTTGAAGTTTTATAAAGATTATATACAAACATATGTAATGCAACGATATTATGCACTCACAAAAGAAAAGATTTTAAGAAAGCTAAAATAAAAACATCACCAGGGAAAAAAATTTGTTGCGTATGTATGATGATTGAGAACTTATGTTATTAATGTGCTCAGGTAATTAGTCCTAATAAGTTGCGGATGGTCTGAAAAAAAAGTTGTCTGAAACTTAATGAAGAAAAAACTATTTTAAATAAATAAGAAAGTCCTGCTACTCAAGAAGGTGCTGCTGTGGAGGCAAAAAAAAGAAGCCCATAGCTGGAAAAAAATTTAAAACTTTCTTTTAATAATGAAAAGCTTTTTATGCTACATTTATTTTTTTACTATAAATATATGCTGCAGCTATTTTTCAAAACGCCTTGATATGCTTATTACATATTTCGAGGAAAAATGCTTTAAAGTTTAAGTAATTTAAAGTTACTTAAAATTAACTCTTGGTTAAAAGTTTTTTGAAACAAATAATTTTAATGAATTTTTTTCAGAACTTTTTGAAAATATGCATTCAATAATGTTTGTAGACATAAACTAGTTTATTTTGTAAAAAAGTCAAAAATTATATTTTTAACTTTAAGGCATTTTGAAAAACGGCTGCATGGATGATACAACAAATATGTTAAAATGAGATAATTTGACGCAAAATTTAAAAGCTCTCAACGAAAGCCACTTAACCAAAAAAATTAAATATAATTGCTTAAAAATTTTATTATAGTGAAAAATTTTATTTTAGTGAATATAGTAATTGTAGTTTAAAGTTTTATTATAGCACTTAAAAATTTTATTATAGTGCATTGGTTTTTGCAAATAAACGCTATATAAATCATTTTTTAATTTTAATACAAACTAATTTTTTTTTCAACTTTGTTGCACTTAACTGTCTCTATATAAAAAATGTATATATAATCATATATGCTATTTGTTTATATATATTGTTTATAAAATGTAAAAAATCCACTTACATTACGTTTTATTCAAGATTGTATGTAATATAAGTATACTTATATTACATACGATTCTAATAATTACAAGTCTTTTTTGCTTAAGCTGTTTTGTTTTTTGGTTTTTGTAGTTATATTATTATATTTAAAAAAATTGACAAGATTAAAAAAATCTACATATGCGGAAAAGGTGCGCATGTTTAGTTTTTTGCTCTTAAATTTTTTTAAGTAAATAAGGAATAGGTATAGAAATTTTTGGCCAGAAATAGATATGTAAATTGGTAAAGACCTGTATTTTATGGATCCGGAAAGCTAGAATATATAAGGTAAAAGTATAGAAAAGTTTCATTTGGAATAGATATACAAAGACCCGTATTGTTACGGGGCTGATCTCAGCTTTTTTCATGTCATTATTTAATTTAATTTTGTTTCATTTTAGAAATCTTACAATGCTTTTTTAGCAGAACGAATATTTTTAGCATTTTGCAGAACGAATAGAGGGCCCACATTCCCCATATGGTGTGGGTTCAAATTTAGGGCAAAAGCATCCCCCACCTTTTATATATATATATACATATGTTAATGAGGAGAGTGAGTAGTAGATACAAAAAATGCTGCGTCAATATTTGGTTTAATTGGTAGAATAACCAACTACATAAAAACTTAGTTTTTATGTAGTTGGTTATTCTACCAATTAAACCAAATATTGGTTAATCTACAAAACCTTTATTGATAATGCAAATTTAGTTGAATTTTTTTTGTAAACATACAGTTCTTTATACATTTTGTTTTGTTATTATGTATAAATAAACTGATTTCCATTTAATACATTAATACAATACAGATTATTTTTTATTTCTTTAAAACATGCCAAAGTGGTTAAAGTGCTTCGCATGGGTTCAAATCCTTTCGTTTACACTTAATTTTTTTAAAATCTTTTCTAATTTTCTAGAATACAAAATAAAACATTTTTAAAGGCCTATAGATATATGCATAACATATATCTAGATATTATATACTATAATAAACGAAAGGGAGATAATTTTTTACAAAGCTTTTTAAAATTTCTAAAAACATGATTACACCGTTAAAAATTTGTTGAGCATATGTCACAATACTTAAGTTGTTAATGTGTTTACTAATTAGTTAAGTCTGTGCATTAAAGGGACAATTTTATTTCTTATAGGAAAATATTTTACATGTCCTGTTAATTTTAGAGAAAAAATGATTTTTCTTTAAAATTAAAACAGCAAGAGTCCTAAAAAGCTGCAGATTCAAAAGAAAAATTAAAAACTTATTAAAGAAAAAAAAATCTGCTGCCCCGTTTTTTTTTTTTTTAATTTTTATTATAGAAATTTGTTGAATTTATGAAGTATTGAACATTTATGGTTATATCAAAACAAAGATTTTTATATTTATCTCTTTAAAAATTATTGAAATAAAGAGAAGTTATTTGGGTCGGTGTGGAATAGACTTACCATGACCAGTATTAAACTGCTCATGGTAAGTCCGTTGTTCCACATATTTAAATAATCTCATATTTTTTAAAATTATTTACGATAGAATTTTTTTTTTATGGCTAAAAAATTAAAACAATGAGTATAGCTTTTTTATAGTTATTTTCCTACCTCTTACTCAAATGTGTTGAGGTATAGATTTAGTTTAGAAAAGGTCGGTTTGGAATACATTTGCAAGACCCATATTTTACGGGTCACGACAACAAAAATTAAAAATAAAGCAAGCTGATGATTTGAACTTGCCGCGCGGTGACCTTAATTTTTAAAAACAGTACAGGCGTTAAAAAAGACGTTTTTTATAAAAACATAATTAAAAAAATTCTAATTTTATATTTAAATGAAACCATTTTATTAAACTGATTACTTTTAAAAATAAATAAAAGTTCAAGTTTAACTTTTATATTTAATATTGATATAATAAGGAAATTTAGAGTTATACAGCTATTAATTCACGCCCCTGTTAAACATACAAAACCGAGTGCGCAGTGACAACACACTTTAGATAACCATTAAAATAGTATTATACTCTATTAGTTTTTGGCTTTATATACTTTTTGGCTTATCCTTTATCTAAACTTTAAAATAAGGGATCGTCTATAAACTACTCAATGCTAAATTTCACAAAAACAAAAATGATCTAAATTTTTCCTTGCAGAGTCGTATGTTAAATAAAAAATCTATAGAGCTCATTAAGTTTAATGAAAATCGTCATCCTAAAGAACTGAAGATCTCTTCTACTTTTTGAAAAATAAATTTAGTGTTGCGTAATTTGTGGGCGATTCCATAGCGTTTTATAGTTTATCTACTTTTCTGCTCTTAAAGTAGTTTTTCAGAACAAAATTTCTTTACTTAAAAGTATTGAAGTAAATAAGGAATAGGTATAAAATTAATTGGTGTGGAATAGGTATGTATAGAAATAGTAGGTTCAGTAAAAACCGGTATTTTAAGTATTCCAAAAGCAAGGATATATAAAGAAAAAGTATTTAAAAGTTCGGTTTGGAATAAACTTACAAAGACCCGCATTTTTACGGGTCAGATCTCAGCTAGTATTATAATATTACCATTAATTATTTTTATTAAATATTACATTTGTTAAATGTTATCATTTTGCGTATGCAATTGGTTTAGCAGTTTTTGTGTTTCTCTTTTCATTTGCGTAAAGTTTGTTACTATTTGTGCTAATTATTTTTATTGTTGTAAAGTTTGCCCTTATTTTTTAATTTAATTTTTTTTTTGTAAAAGTATTTGTGTTTGCCTTTTGGTTTGGTAGTGTTTGTGTTTCATCTTGCAGTTTTTGTGTTTTGCCTTTTCGTTTGTGTAAGGTTTGTTTTTTATTTGTTTGTGTAAGGTTTGTTTTTTATTTGTTTATAATTGTTATAATTATATTGTTTGTATCATTATAGATAATATTATTTTTTAATTATTATTGTTATAATTATTTGGTGTCACTCCTTTGATCAGGCTTCTGTTTGAGTGACACCTTCCTTTTTTAAATAATTATTTATATTTATTCTTATTAGTTATATTTTATTATAACTATATTGTTTGTATTATTATAGATAAAATTATTATTATTATTGTTATTATGTGATTATATATAAATTTTGAAAATGAAAATAAATATCTTGTTGTTGTTGTTTACATGCTTTGCAGAATTTAAATATATTGTATCATAAGTGATGTTTATACCAAGGTAAAATAATTTTATTTATCACACATTACACTATTTTTCATTGTTTCTGTCTGTAAAAGATTTCTGTAAATTTGTTTCTGTCTGTAAAATTAAATTTATGATTTGTAAATTGTAAAAATATCAAGTTTCAATATCTAATCACATGTAACTTTTAAACAAAAAAAATCACATGTAACTTTTAAACAAAAAAAAAAATCACATGTAATTTTTAAACAAAGTAATTATTTTTGTTTGCATTTTATCTCATAAAAGAATATTTATAATATCTAATTAAGCTAATAACTTATTGTAGACATTTATTTTATATTTATTATTTGATAAAATATTTTTAAAAATATATAAAAAACCTACATATATTTGGTTAAATCAAATAAAATTTGAAATTGTAAATAATAAAATAATTAGTCAAATTTAATTTAAAAAAATTACTTTTACAAAACACATGACATTTGATATTGATTTAGGATAGAAAAAACATGACATTTGAAATTGATTTAGGATATCATCGCAGCTATTTAGATGTTTACTTTTGGGTCACTTTTTTTTAATCAAAGCATGCGATCTTGGAAGACTGTTGACAGTTCTATTTTTCAACATATTGACATTGCAGTCAATGATCTGAAAGTAGCACCATTCTGTTATAAGTTCTTTTTTTGTTATCTATTATTATTTACTTCTGTAATTTCAAAGAAAAAATTATTGACCAATTAATTATGTGAGCTCTGGTGGTGCTAAAAGAACTTCATTTATTATGTGAGCTCTGGTGGTGCTACAAGTATTTAAAAACAATAAGAATATATCTTGTGAGATATTTGTTAAATATGCAACAAAATATTTCAATAAAAGATATAGGGATTATACATTTATACTTTAATGCATTAAGCATGTAGGCTGAATATTTTTAAACTTTGAATATTTTTAAACAAAATTTTCCTTGTAGCTGGACTAGTGCTCCAATTCCTACAACCAATAAAATGAATCAATAAATTTGGAACTTTTTCTATATTTTTACAATAGCATTAATTACTTCTGTATTCAAATTATTAGATGTATTGATGCCAATGCATAACTTAGACGTATTGATGCCAATGCATAACTTAGTGTGGTACTATTAAAAATATTATTATATAATAAAAATCTATTCACAGTTTACAGGCACTATTGTCTTTCAGTAAACATTTGTTAGATCAATAAACTCAAGCTTCAAAAAAAAATTTTAAATAGGTAAAAACTATAGAGCTAATTTCTTCATCAAAGAACATATGTAATTTAATAATAATAAACTTTGATATGCTTTATATATTTCAAATTCTTGCAAATATAAATTTTTCGATAAAATGACTAACCATCGTATCTTAAACTTGAATCGCGTAACTGTTTGCTATCAACTTCTTCATCAGATGTTTGCTCATCACAGTTTAAATCGCTTGTTTTGTCATCCTCATCATCTGTCTCATGAATCTCTGTCAAGTAACTATTCTTTAGATCTTTAACCTCATCCTAAAAACCATTATGTTAAACAATTATGTTAAACAAATTATAAATTAATGAATATTATAAACATATTGCAAAGAAAATTTTAAAAGTGGACACAATTTTAAGCAAAGAAAATTTTAAAAAAGTAAAAATTTTAAAAGTGGACAAAATGTGTTGAAATGTAAGAGGTTTGTATTCTTTAACAGTACAATCAAATACCACAGAAAAACCTTAGGATAATAAAACTCTAAAGTCTCACTATTAAAAATTTGCAATACACTACTTAATACTTTATGTGGTAATTCAGGACATAAGAAGGAGTTGTAATATTGATAGTAATATTGTAAGTAATTTTTATGTTAAAAATGTAATAAAATAATATTGCAATGTTCAAAAATGTATCAGTAATATTGCAAGCACTTGAGTAATTTTAATGGTCAAATTGTAGTTTTAATAGACATTCATAAAAAGTCATTTGCTTTAAGAAGTTATCTATACCTGTAGATTATATTACATATAAATATTTAGTAAATAAAGCATATATTTAACTTGTTACTTGCTTCTTTGCAAGTAATTAGCTTGTATATGTTAAAATTTGTATACATTAAGGCTTGTATATTAAAATTTGTGAATCAATCTCTAAGTATTGAGTTAACAATTTTTTATTTACTTAAAGGGGGTAAATAATTGTGATTGACTACATTATTAACTATATAGAAGTATAACTAAAATGATAACATACCATTTGATTTAATTCTGAACAGAGAAGCTTCTTAACAATTTGCTTATTGGATTTGAGTGACTTGATTAGTTCAGAAAATGCATCATCTTTATTATCTTCATTGATTGCTTGTTTCTCGCTTGCTTCAATCTTAAAATATGAAATTTTTTTTATATAATGACATCAATAAAATCGTTTTTACTAAAATATGTAATTAAAAAAATAGCATATTAGTGTGTGTAAATTGTGTGTGTGTGTGTGTGTGTGTGTGTGTGTGTGTGTGTGTGTGTGTGTGTGTGTGTGTGTATATATATATATATATATATATATATATATATATATATACATACAAAAGTAACGAGATGGTATTCAATAAATTAAAAATACCATCCCGCCTAATCATTGTTATATATAGAGATTTATAAAAAAGTGGCAAGATGGTTTATACTTTATAAAAAGGTGACGGGATGGCATCCTGCAGTATCCCGCCACACTTCGAGCACTGTATATATATATATATATATATATATATATATATATATATATATATATATATATATAAATATATATATATATATATATATATATATATATATATATATATATATATATATATATATTATACATATATACACATATATACACATATATATATATATATATATATATATATATATATATATATATATATATATATATATATATATATTTATATATATATATATATATATATATATATATATATATATAAATATATATATATATATATATATATATATATATATATATATATATATATATATATATATACAGGGTGTAAATTGGTCCTATGGTGTCCCATCAAAAGCGGTATTTCCAAATGCTCATAAAATTAAAATTCCCAATTAAAAAATTCCATTCTCTAAATAAAGTTAGCTAAATCATAAATTAAAATTTAGAAATAATTCTGAAAATTATTGAAAATTATTTATTATCAAATACTAATAAAAAAATAACTTTGAAAATTCTAATTTATTAATTGTGTAAAATAAAATCGCTGCTAACTTCGCGATTGCATAACTGTGAAAATATCTTTTGGGAAAAACCTCTTTAGAATTACAATTTTCTCAGAAATTTTTTCAGTCTCACTACAAACTCTACTTCAAGTAATACATGTGCTTTGTCTACAAAGTTTATTCAAAATATCAAGAAGCCGTTTACGTCAGAAATTTTGATCAATGCAAATATTACGGGAAGTTTTTTATTTGTTTTTCTTTTTTGTTTGGTAGTTTATATCAAATGACTTATATCGAATATAACCTTTTTACTACTCGGCATCAACTAAATTTTTTTTTTACTAATTTACTATAATTTCTCAACTAACTTTTTTAAAAAACCACCTCTGAAATATAAGTTAAATAAAAAAATGTTTATGTATGATTAGAAGTTATAATCATATAAAATATATAATTATAATATAACAAATTGGTATTATAAATTTATTTAGTAAGGAAAATAGATTTCTTTACTTTACTGCTTGATTGTATTTAAAACATAAATTAAATATGTTTAATAACAAGAATGTTTTTTTTATTACAGCAAAATGGTATTAAATTCACCGCATGCTTGAATTTAAAACGTAAAAGCAAATTTAAATGTTTGAATGAACCACATTTTAAGACTATGAATGAAAAAATAATTATTGGTGCTCTTCATTGCAACAATAGTGTGCAATGATTAGAAAATATTTTGACAAATTCCCAATTTTGTCAAACACTGTATAAAATTTATTCCTGGTTAACACTCTGATATACAGTATCGGACAAACAAGTGCAACCAAATAATGCTAATTTAGTTTCTTTATATAAAAGTGCTGCATTTTTTCAATTTAGAGAAATAACTATGTAACTGTTTAGAGACAACATTCTTCAAGTTTTATTCATCACAAAGTTCATTATTTTTACACGAAAATTAATAAATTAATCATAAGTATTAAAAAAAGTTGATTTCCTTCTGGAAAAAACAAGTGCAACTCCAAAAAATGTTGACCAAGCTGTATTTCGCTATCAATATTTCGTGGCGAATCCTTTGTTGTCGATCACAACCTTGCATCTTCGAGGCATAGATTCGATCAGGTGATCAATCAAACTTTGTGGAATCGCTGCCAAGGCCTTTTCGATTTGTTTAAACAGTTGATTCTTATTACGAACACCTTCACGATTAATTCTGCGGTTGATGATCTCCCACAGGTTCTCGATAGGATTAAGATCCGGAGATTGAGGCGGCCAATCCATCGCCGATAGGTGGTTGTCTTGAAACCACTGCTAGACTACTTTTGCAGTGTGTTTCGGATTGTTGTCTTGCTAAAAAACCCATTTTATTGGCATATTCCATTCAGCATGAGGTAACATAACATCTTTCAGGATATTTTTATGCATGAAACAGTCCATTATTCCATCGATTTGATGTATTGGACCTAGACCGTTAGCAGAAAAACACCCCCAGACCATTACATTGCCTCCACCATGCTTCACGGTTATTTGGCAGTAATGTAAATCGAGGCGTTTTCCGGCCGGTCGACATACACGGCAAATGCCATCACTCTCAATGATATTGAACTTCGATTCATCACTGAACATGATAGCTGGCCATTTCTGCACATTCCAGTCAATATGAGATGTAGCAAACAGGAGTCTTTTCTTCTGGTTCTTTAGTGAAATCAGCGGTTTCTTTGCAGGGCGTTGAGAAAACAATCTGGCTTCAACAGCACATCGTCTGATTGTTTGGTCCGATACAGGCAGTTCTAATTGCTTTTATATCTCGATTGATGATATCCAGGGATCCTTCGTGATGGATTTGACGATCATAGAATCCTCTCTAGAAGTGGTGGAACACAGTTTTCCACCTTTGTTATCTGCTACCAACTTCCCCGTAGAACGATATTTGGAACATAGGCTTGATACGGTCTATTTTTTCACGCGATATTTATCACAAATACTTTTTTGTGACATTCCACTTACTTAATCGCCAATAATTTTCTTTCTTAGTTCCAATCCAAGACTGTCTGGATTTTTGCACTTGAAGTCATAAAAATAATAAAAGATAATAATCACGCTTCTCAAGGCTTACCGTGTTACATTAACCTTGTGATGATACAATAATGCTCTGTGGAACACAACGCCTTGGTTGAATGTGGACTGTATTGATGTAATGAAACATTTGTTGTATTGATGTTCTTCGATAAAACACTTTGATAAAACTCACTTCGATAAACTGTCTTGATAATATTGACTAATTGACTTCCATATACTGACTGAATTACATGATGGTTTACATGTCTCTTATATAGTAAAATGAACCTGTGTGAACCTGTTCTGGAAGAATCTAGATGCTTCTTTTTGATGCTTCTGGAAGCTTCTGGATGCGTCTGGATGCTTCTAAATGTTTCTGGATACTTCTGGATGCTTCTGGATGCTTCCAGATGCTTCTTCTGGAATCTTCTGGAAACATCCTTCAATTATTAAAAAACTTTCGTGACGTTGACACGGACCAGACTTAAGAAAATGAAACAAACCAAAAAGGTTGCACTTGTTTTGTCCGTTGCAAAATGGCACTAGTCAACGAAATTCTGCTTGTGTGCTGTCACCTGTCAGCTGATTACTCATGTCATGGCATGCTATGACTCCAGACTCCTGAACTGTTTACTGTGGTAATATAGTTCATTTTATTTTTAAGACATGTAAAATTAGGAACACTTTTTAGCATTGTTCGATGTTGGTTGCAAATATTTTGTGTGTATATATATATATATATATATATATATATATATATATATATATATATATATATATATATATATATATATATATATATATATATATATATATATATATATATATATATATATGTGATGCATAGTTTTGTTTGATGCTGATGTAAATAGACAAAAAAAAGCTAATAACAATTAAATAACTGATTATAAGAACAATCGGTAGTATAAAACTAAAGGTCAGGTAAGGACCAAGATCATCATGGTCACCCTTCTACTAGTAGCATGTCATCAAGTATAACCTAGCAGATAAATAAATAAATACATGGGTTTACCTACAGCTACTGTGTTTTGCCCAAATAAATGGTAAGCTGGCAAAACACTTACTCAGCTGTGCAATAAATTATTATATTACTTTATAATTTTTAATGTTCTAGAATTTTCTGGTGCAATAGTTTGCTATTCACTATTAAATATGATTTTAATTTTTTTTTTATAAATACATGTGTTTTGTTCATCTCTATTGGTACTTGGAAGAATATTCAAAATTCTAGGACCATAGTGGGATACCGCCTAATCACCAAAAAGATTGCTGGATTTTGTTTCTTTTAATTTCAGAGTTCTCTCTGATGTTGAGAAGTGAATCAAATTACACAATGATGCTGGCGCTTCCTGGATAATAGACTTGTGCATTATTAATAAAATCTTGAAATAAATTTTTTCTCTAATTTTAAGCCAATGCAAATTGATAAATACCTGGTCATTTATTTGATTTTCTATTCTGGTTTTAAATACTAGTCTTGCTGCACAATTTTGAACAGACTGCAGTTTTTTTATTAGTGACCTCTCAATTCCAAAGTAGAGGGAGTTGCAACAATCTAGCTGTGCAATAAGAATTGTTTTATTTTGGATAATATGATTATATTATCCAAAATGATTATATTGTAACAACTTTTCACAATCTTATTTATCTGTGTTTTCAAAGACAGTTTAATGTCAAGTATTACACCCAAACTTTTTGTGGAGTCAACAAATCTAATGCATTCCTTGTTAACAAAAATACCTTTAATAATAATATCTTTTTGAATGTTAGGTGGTGCCATAATTAGTATTTTTGTTTTCGATTGGTTAATGCATAAGAATGATTCGCTCATCCATTTAGATATGTGTCCAAGACATTCTGGTATATCCAGAACTAATGCATTATATTGCGAAGAAGGAAGGAATGCTTTGAGAGTTTGATGATCATCTGAGTATCCAAAGGTTTTAACATTGATGATGTTCAGATGTTTGTACAGTGGTCTCATATAGATATTAAATAGTTGTCAGATGTCTCACTGACTTGTAACTCTGACTTTAAATGTTGTAAAAACAAAGTATGATGTGCAAACATGTCTGTCAA